AGCCCTCGCGTTATCGTCGTCGAGAGGAAAGCTTGGATCGCGAGTACTCGATACGGTGAGCTGCTAAATGGAGTGAGATCCATTACGGGCGGCCCTGAATCGACCAAGACAGCTTTTCACTAGGGAAAACCACATTTGGCGGTTCGAGCTCTGGCAAGAGTATCGCTTAACAAACCTCTCGGGCGCGCCTCGAGCATCTCGCTATATTCCTTCCATCGGCTGCACTGTAATCGAGTTTACTCCTCGAGAAGGTATCCTTGACCTTCTTTCCCTCGATAACTATTACCGTAGCCTGCCCCGTTCGCGTTTGCACGGAGACGTTTCTCGAGCATTCCTACGAATTTGCGACGCAATCTTCGGTTGCCATTTTCCAACCAGATGGTTATCTTATCTCTCTCGTCGACGTTGCTCTATCGCGACCGATAACTCCTCGCGGAGCGACTCGGCCTCCAAACACCGATGGCGAATTTAGACTTTGCACTTTGGATGGCCATCCGCGGATGATTCACGGGAGTACACCGTTCGTTTCAGTTGCTTTCAAAACGAGTGTTCCCACAGAACTTAAACCGTCGATAAGTGTCCGGAGGTGTAAATTTTTCGTGTGTCCGTGCAACGATGATTCTTAAAATGAACGCGTGATTCGTAAAGATGAGCGGCGCGGAGCCCGGGGCGACGTTCATCTTGAGAATCATTACTGTACCGATCGTCTGGCGGTCACGGGAGGTCGTCGGTGCTTGGAGAAATTGCGAGGCAGAGGTTTAGATAGCCGATCAGCCGGCTAAGAAATGGCATTCGCGCACCGTGGCCGGGGTGACATTCCGTAAGATGCTATGGGAGTTTCTCGTATATGGCCGTCCTAGAGCCACGCGGGACGAGAGAAGCTGCGCGGAGGTCCGTTATCGTGCTCGCTCCTTGCGTCGGCCTTCTAAGGAGCATTGCGCTCTAACGATCGTGTCGCAACTGAATCAACCGCTACGATTTTTGGTATGTAGGCCGCGCGACCGTAGCCTCGTCTCCTTTCTTCGCGGTCTCCGCTTCTTCCGCCCCATCGCGAACAATGCATTCCCCTATAATTGATAACAGAGTCCTCCAACAGCCGCTGAAAGCTCGATCTCTTTCTTTTGCAAACCGCTGCTCAAACTCCATCCTCGCTTCTCCGTCTCGCTCACCTTCTAACAATCAAGCGAATCTCGAATCCATCAAAACTTGACTTTGAAAAACAGTCGGTCAGTGTCCCTGGGAGAAAAAGTGTACATTTTCATTGAGAATTATCCCTGCGCTAATATTTGAGACATTTCAAGCAAATTGGTTTTAAATTGAACGCGGCGGTAACATATACTCTTGGCTTTCTACTTTGTTTTTTGCACGACTGTTAATCGTACGAACGCTTTAGACATTTCCAAGCGCTTTCTCCGGTGTGCCTCGGTATTCTCACCTTGGCCCTCTTATGTTTAATTTATTTATTAACGACGCAGTTTCTGTATTCGCTCGCGCTGCAACTTGCCGTTGTACGCGGCTGACCTTAAAATCTTTCGCAACGACGAATCGCGGCTTGATATCTCGACGCTGGTAACGCGATCTTGTAAATCTCGCCGATCGTCGAACGTCGATGGAAATGTTGTGTTTTTCTACACGTGGGGGAGAAGTTTTCGCGTTTTTTTGCACGGGATATTCTCTAGGAAATTCGGCGGCGTGAATCATCGGCGCGGAACGACGAATCCCACCCCCGACGCGGGAAATTAGCGACCGAGGCGGTTAGAATTTTTGCGTCGACCGGCAAAACCGCTTAACCGAGGCTGATTCATACGATTTACTGCTGTCGCTGACTAAACGTGGCCGCGGTTGCAAAGCTCCCGGAGGCGACTAAATTTGTCAAGACTGGCCAACGAACGCGGAACAAAAAGAGGGCGTGGTTTATCGCGCAATTTCACGGATTTTTCCCATTCCTCGGGACGATCGTGTCCCATAAACGATTCCGGCGGAAAAACAAAGGGGAGAAAGTTGCGCTTTGAGAAACCAGCCGCGAAGATAAAATCGGTTTCGCATTGTCTCGGGATCTGTGCTGAACTCTGAACTCCCGAACTCGCAAAATTCACCCGATCCGTTAAGGGGTTTACGAAACGTGTTTCGTCATCTTCTTTCGAGCCGTTTGCTCTTAATTTTCGTTATTATCCCTTTCACTGGCGTCGTTTCATTTTCCTCTGTGTCGTCATCGCGTAATAAGGTGTCACGCGACTCGTCCGCGGACTTAACTTCGCCAAGGACGGATCATTCGCGTTAATAAGCAGGATGAAAGTATTAAAAAAAATGTACGGTGCAGCTTGTCGTTTAAAGTTCACCGGTGTTTCGAGAAATCGCGTCGCAGAAACGATGTCAAAAAATAAATAGGCAGATACGTTATCTGCTATGCTCTCTTTGGGCGATAAAAATTTCATTCGTAAACAAAAAAAATACCCGGTGAAATTAAGACGATTCTACAGACGCGTGCAAACCTTGGTCAAGAAATTAAACTACGCACGCTTCGCGAAATTGCATCCGTGTCATTCGGTATGACGCGTCGATAAGAAGGGCAAGTTTCCTCGCGCATTATCGCGTTTATGCGGTCATTTTTCTACCGTTTGCCAGTCTTCGAGGCGACAACCAACTGCGTTCTTTGGATCGTTCTCTTTGAGAATTGTTAGATATTATTTTCTGGACGGCCTGTATAGCCGTTCCCGCCTTGTTCGAATCGATGCGAGGCAAGGAACGAACGCATGCGGGCCTACGAACGACGCGTGCACACCTTCGCGGATGCAGGTGTATTCCGCGCAGAGTGCATTCGCATGCAATCGTTAGGCGACTGTCGTGGACTCTTCGAGGGTTCAAGGCCCAGACTGTAGGAGTGATACCTCGGTGCGCTCGGAATAATGGAAAGAAACGTCCTGGGAATTTCTCATGGTGTCAAGGACCTCGTCCTTAGGTTCATTGCCGCACGTTCCTTCGACGCTGCCCTTAAATGGGCCCTCTACCCTTCAAGCTCAAACAAATCAATCGTTGCTCTTGCATTTCCAACAATTCAAAAAATTTACGAGGTGTATTTTCTGGTACTCTCATTCTCCAGAAAAGAATTAATTATTATTAATTTAGTACTGAATTTTAATTCGTGTTTTAACTCCTCGCCAGCGGCCATTTCGCGTCCAGAAACCACTGGACTCCGTTCTATCGTAGGATAACTTACGCTACAATCTACGTATTTTCAAACAAAAAATATTTACGACTCGAAAAATGGGAACGCTGACAATTCCTGACCCGATTCCATGAAAATGGGCGGGTCCGGTCGAGGGATTAACACGATACTCGAAGTCGCGGAGAATTTAGGGCCGTAAATCAGCCGTCTGGGCAGCAAATTGGAAACGTCGCGGTTAGGAGAATGAACCGCAACTCGAGGTGTTAGGTTTATTTACCGATCCGGCGAGTTAATTCCAAGTTGTCAGGGGGGCTAATCCGCCTACCTGTTTCAACGTTACGCGAGATTACACGGTAAACGCCGCGCGAGCGATTTTTCTCACGGCATGCGCTATCTCCGCGGAATCGTTTGCATAATATGGCCCGACATAACAAAGAAAGAGAGATTAATCGCGCCGGTAGAAGCGGAAATATTGAATTACTTTCTTCTCACGGCCGGCGTCGATAAATATTTATTACCATCGCGACGATACGACGTCGGATAAATTATCTCGCGGCGGGAATTTATCGAGCACAACCCGGTCGATTTAATATCGCCGATCCGCTCCCGTGGCCGCGCGAAAACCAGCGGAGTTTCCAGCGGCTCGTTTTCAAAATCAACGACTCGTACGTGTTTCGTACGACGATCAATAACGCGTCCAGCTAGCGATCGATGGATTCCCCGTCCCAGCTAGTCCCAGGCACGTTACATTCAAATCCAGACGTATTGCGTTACGCGGCCCCGATCTCTGCTCGTCCGTAATGCGGCTTCCTCGCGTTATGATCCGTGACCGCATTTTTTTCTTAGATCCTCGCTGAGCCCGAATTCTCCTCGAGCCGGAGAGAAACGAAACCGCCGTGAAAAAGGAAGACCGCCGCGAACGATAAAAGTCACTTTCGAAAATCCGACCGCCTGGCCGGAAGTGGACCGGAAATCGATCATCGGCCGTTCGATTTCACGCGTGGCTATTCCACCGATTCCCGATCGGCCGTAGAAATCGCGGGGAAACCGTAAACGCGTCTCGATCCACCGATCTTAACGACGATTGCACAATGCAATGCACGAGGGGAAATATTTTATGATACAACTTAACGGACGGACAGATTTTCTTCGTATTACAGTTGCTCGTGCCGGGATTGGATTGGAAAAACATGCGTGCCGAAGACGCGTTCGTGTCGCCTTTCGTCGAGGTCGGTTTCCGAATCGACAGGATGTTCATTCACGAAATAATTGAAAGGCGGCGGATATGAGCGAGTAACGCGACCGAGACGGTATTCGAGGACGCGTGTCGTCCCCTAACCACACATTCGACATCCAATGTCTCGAGGTTTGTCTTCGATCGTGCGTGAAACGCTCGATAATCGTCCCCGTATCCTACGATTCTTTCGTGTCGAGGTCTTGCAGTAAACCAGTTTGTTTACAAATTACTCGAGAACATAAAAATATAGAAAATACGTCATTTCATTCACCTATCGTAAAAAGTTACTGGTTCGGAGGATATTTCGATGACGCGGATCGCGGACGAGCACGTGTACGTCGCGTTTAGCGCGCGAACACGCACGCGGAATCCTTGGCGAGGAGTCGCGGCCTCGCGATAATGGACGCGTAGTTTTTCCACGTGAGAATCAATAGTCCGTGACGAATGAATTTTTCGTGGTTCGAGCGAATAATCGAGGAGGAACGGCGTCGCGGTCACGCGTTTCCACGGAACTCGGTCGACGGGACTCGAAAGCCGCCTCGCCGGATTCCACGCGTATGACGTTCCGATTTCAACGAATCTTTTCCCGTTTGGCAGGTCGGCGATGGAGGCATCATAGTGCTCGGCGCCACGTTGGACGCCTCGACGACCGACGACGCGGAATGGGAGCTCGCCGGTGGCCCACCCTCACCATGTGACGTGTCGTTTTTCAACGACAACGTTCTCATCAATGGGCGCAGCAATCTCTCGAGGACGCCACGAAATCACAAGGTAAGCTCTCTACCTTCCAAATAAAAAAATAATTGCTCCATGTACGAAGAACTAATCCGAATTATTGTTACGAAGAACCAAGAGGTAGCTGAATCGGGACCGGAGTTGCCTGATTCGATGGAATGCTTACAGAATCGTTTAACGATAAATAGAAGATCCTCGAATCTCAGCGACGATCGATCGCGTTAATCAAGCGTTATCTAACGCGTGACAGAGTAAACGAGCCCTGGAAAAGTCGTGAAAGCTTGGTGAAACGTTTCTCGCCCGGTCTTTTCGTTGTTCGTAACGCGATAACGCGAGATCTCGCGAACCGGGCACAGCCTCGCTATCTAATCTAATCGGTTGCAGTTCGCCGTGGAATCTCGCGCCGCGGGAGCTTTGTTAAGTGGAAAATGAAGCTAATACCGCCGGGTAACCAAGGCCCTTCTTCGTGGGAATGCACTTTCCCCCATGTGAAAGAGACTGTAAAATATTCAAGGGCGGTCGGTGCTCGCCTTTCAGCCTTTTTCCCTCGGGTCGTTCGTTATTTCGAGCCTCCTTTCATCCAAGGAATTTTCGATGCACATTTTGTCCTCGACCGAAAGGGCACGGGATGGGATTAACCCTCGCGTTCGACCAGCGGGCACGTATCGTAGATTAGTCCCGGATTACGATCTGAAACACCTTAGATCCGCGTTCGGTTCGAAAGAAGAACGATAATTCCTCCGCGGAGTAGCGGATAGGAAACGGAAACGTTTCTGGTGTTTATTTGCGACGTACTCGAACCGTACGTAAATAACAAAACTTGTGTAACTACTAGTCACCGTGATAAGCTATCTGTGCGTCGCTTTGCCAAGTAGTTGTGCTCAGTCATCTTTGATTGTATGCAATTAACGCTTCGCGTACCGAACTACGCGTATTCTTCCTGTTATCAGTTTGTCGAACAAACTGTTACAAACTGTTTGCAGGAATTTACAATTCGAGTCGGAAGTCGTTTGCTCGTGGTTTTTATTCAAGGGGTTTTGAAACAGTCGGGATCTTTTTCGGAATATACAATTTGCACGGTTCCGGAGGTTCAACGTGCCCGAAAACTTGCTATTAACGAGTATTCGGTGGAACAGGTATGCATCCCCGGAGGCTCGTTTTGCGTACGGTGCTCGAAAGCGGATTAAACGATACTCTCCTTTCGAACTATAGATAAACGTTCTAAATAATTAATGTGCTATAACAGTGTACAAGGCGCGTCATTAATTTTCACGGCCCAACTTCTCCCAGGAGCCGCTATTACGGATAATGTGGCTCTCGAAGATCAATTTGCCTCGACTTCGTTAATTGAGCCGATCGGCTTTTAAAACGTCGCCGGGAACCTCTTAATTTCGCTATACACGAGGCTACGAGTCCAGTGCGCTAGAAAAATTCGCCTAGAAAATCGCGACTTTGGTTGGTTCTACGATCGATCGTCGGATCTAATTTTTCAGAAACTAAATTCCTCGCGAAAGTCGAGCGTTGATAAAGACGAACGTTTGATCCGTCCATTAACGAAGCTAAAAAGAAAGATTAAGTCCATTACTTCTGCGATCCATCAATTCTGACTCGTTAAGTACACGTAGTATCGGAGCAGAGTCGTGACTCAAGTAGGACATATTATATAATAATTTACATGATGCAAATGTTAGAAATGCATACCGGACTCTCTCCGGCGTTACTTCATACTCGGATCACGCAGGAAACCGACCGATAGAAACGTATTCTAAACGAGGTTTTATGGAGTGGTTTGATCGTACGTCGGAATACCTGTTTTTAAGAAAGTACACCGACGATTATTCAACGCGAACGGGATAACAGTGTCGATGAGCGCGGATCGTGTGTCCCGATTCCACGGCTGGAGGCCGCCTAATTTCCCATTATGCGAACGGGGACGATAAAGGTTGCCCGGAGCGTCGATAATCGTCCCCGTTAAAAGATCGAAACACTCGGACGAGCGACTTTCTCACGGGCTCGGGCTTACGCGGATTCCCGTGACGACAGAACGACCAAGGCTCACCCGTTACCGATGCCGATTTGCAAAGTAAAAGTAGACGCGCGAACCGCAGCAACGATTTTCGAGCAGCTTGTCGGAGGAGTTAATCTACCGTGGTTCATGGGAACGCGGCAAAACGACCGATTCAGCTCCACGCGCCTCCCTAAACGGCGGAACGATATCTCTTTCGCGCGAAAAACGCTCGACGTTGCTCGCTTCCGGGTTTGACGGATATTTTCCTCGGTTTACGCAAGAACCAGCGCGACGAAAGGTCGTGGGTGAAACGATCGTCGCGTTTTTTTTCTTTTTTTTTTTTTTGTTTACGAGTCAATAAAACCCCCGGGGACAAATAACGACGGTCCCTCGATGGAATAAGAGATTGTTTCGAGCGCTAACGAACCGTTCACGAAAGTAATATAACAATAAGCGGTGAAGTAAGCTATAAAAAATTAATGACGGTAATTACAGAGGTTCTGATCGAATCGGTGGAACGATTCAGAACGGCTAAATTGTTGCCGTATAAAGCAACGATGATTGCCCCGAGATTTCTAACCGGGTAACGTTAAATTCAATTCGTAGTAGAATGGCTGTGTACGCGATCTAGTAAAGAAAATGTTCGATAACGTTTTAAATAGAACAATCAACGCGGTTAGAATTTGTTTGTCGTTTATCTGAACTGTGCTCGATTTAGAAAAAGAAGCGTTTTTCGTATAGAGTCGCTCTTTATCGCTGCTTCCGGTTGCGTCGACCTCGACGGTTGATATTCTCCGTCGTGCAACGTGAATGGATAACTTCAGAGACGCGCAGATATTTTTTAAAATGTTTTGCTTGCTCGACTCTTCGATCGTGTAGATCGCCACGCGTTGGCCTTGCAAATTATTTGGTATTCGAGTAATGTTTCAGCAGTTTTTGGCAGGGAACGACCGTCAGTGTCACCGTCCGGATTCGTCTTTAATTCAGTGCCCAATTAGCGGCGCAAACCCTAACCTTTAATAACGTTGCGCAACGTGCGATGCGAAAAATCGAAACCGGTAAAAGGTGGAATTTACATATTCGAAAGTTCCGTGGCACGGGAGAAGCGATTCCAGGGAAAACGACGCGAGGTATTCCGTTCTACAAGCGTCATGGTTACTTATTGTCCGGCGATCGATCTTCGAGAGGGACCGAGAGAATCGATATCTCCCGGAGTCGATTGTTCGCCGATGCGTCGTATTTCCTTCGGATTTACTTCGTTCGACCGTATCGGATCGATAGAAACGCCGGACAGACTATTATACGACGCGGAATTCCGTGACTGGAATTATCGTCGAATAATTCTCTGGATAGAAAATGCGGGCGTTGTTCCTCGCTCGACGAGGCGTAGTCGACCATTCGGGCTCGCTAATGCGATCGTTGTCCTACTAATTCCATCCTCCTCGATCGGACCACCTCTGTCCGGGCTAATTTTCTTCGCGAACCCGGATAACTGAATGGTCCTGGACCCAATTTCGTTACAGTTATCCGGGTAATTGCTCGCGAACTCGGTTCTCAGCCTTAATAGCGGACAAACTCGACCCTCCCCGGATAACCGAATGACTCGAGACCCAATTTCGGCCGTAATAACGAAAAAAAAAGTAGGAAAGAAGATTTGGTCGCGAGCCTAAGGAGAGTCAGGCTCGAATGCCATTGCCTTAAAGCGTCGTTGGCCGAAAGTAAAGGCTGCGAGTACCCAGCCATAAAAGTAAGCATTTATAAGCGTAAAGTTTATCTTCCCGGCGCGAAAGTACGCGTTTCCGTGCGCGTTCGCTTAGAAATTTCTCGGCGTCGAGGAGGGGCCGCGCACGGTCGCTTCCACGCTATATATTTTAATTTTATTGAAGGTAAAGGAATTTCTAACGGTGAAAAATTGCGCGTTTGAAAACGCCGGGGACGACGAGAGGATCGTTGCTCAACCCATTTGCATCGGCGGAGAAATAACAAAAATTGCTTCGACGCCGACTCGTTGCCTAACCGTCTGACACGTTCGCGTACTCGAACGTTTTTCACGGCGCGTTTTCGCGGAGAAGGAATTTTTTGCCATGAAAACGACGCGATCCGGACGTGCTCGGGATACAAATAGGAAAACGTCGGAAATTGAAACTATTTTTAAAAATCAAATCTGCGTAGAGTGCAAATTTTTTGCAAAGAAACTGCAACGTCTTTCGCAGTGAAATTGACGAGGTTTATTTATACTCTGGCGATCGTTTAATTATCCTAATGTAATTTGATTTATCTACGTAAAAAAGTATGTTCCTATTATAAAAACTAAACGATAAAAACCTTGGATTGTACCGTTTACCAGGAATAAATTCCTCTGAACGCGGGTATTTACCATCGGGGAAAAAATTCAACCGACCCGTTAACGCATAAAGAAGGAAACTTTCGTCCGTTGATTTTTGTCGTTCTCGCAATCCACGCGAGTTGCAGCATAGACAATTTGTTCGCGTTGGCCCGCGCGCATATTGTACGGTTTTGCCTCGCAAATAATCGGTTTTATAGCCGATACCTGTCTCGGCCGGAGTCGTTGAACAATAAACCTCACGTGTCTGGCTGGGTTTCTGGCGCGCAGCCTTAGCTAGGAAGACGGGAGGAGAACAAAGGGAACGCTCGTGCGAAATTCTGTGACCCTGTTCCTGCTCGAATATTTCAGCGTGCCGTAGATTTCTCTCCTGAAATCGAAGACGCTCGGAACAATAACGACGCGAGGCGTCTCGCGGGAACAGAATTTCGCCGGTCGCGTAACACCGGAACGGCCGCGTAAACAGACGCGCGTCAGAGGCATGAAATTTCGACGAGCAACCGAGACGATCGTCGAATAAATTCGCCTCGAGTACAGTTAATTCCCGAAGTGGTTCCCCGTAACAGCTTCATCGCGATGTTCCTACGGAGGCTCTTTAACGATCTTGTTAGGGATCGTTACGATCGTAATAGGTCGCGATAAACTTACGTTGATTTGTAGATTTGTTTCTCGACGATAGGGGCC